CAAGTCTATAGAACCCGGTCTGTCCTGCTAATACCCATAGATGGGGGAAACAAGAAGAGGATTAATATTTTCTTAAGGGTATTACCAACTAAGTGAATGTAATAGATTTGACAGAAATTGAACTCGGCTGTCCGATTCCTCAATCCCAGCCGCTATCCAATCCAATGCATAAAAACAGAAAAAAAAATTTGATTTAATAGAAATAAATCCCATTTATCCATCTTAATGGGTGAACAAAATATTCGTACAATAGAAATTTCAGATTTTAAAACATTTAAATTACTTTAATACTCTAGATTATTCAAGAGGAATATTCTAGAATGTTACAATAATGTTATCAGTAGTTATTTTTAACCTAAAAAAATACAAACAGAACATTGTGTAATTGATATTCGTGCAAGAAGGTTATCATCATGGCAAGAAGTAAAGAAATGACAAATTCACAAAAAACTGATTGTTAAGCTCTGGAAAGAAGGTAAAAGTTACAGGAAAATCTCAAACAACCTGAATATTCAATTTATTACCATTATTTCATTCATTGCAAGGTATAAAAAGTCAAAACTGTTGAAAACAAAAGAAAAATAGGGTGCCCCACGGAATATTTCTTCGAGATCTTCGAGGAAATTAAACGTCAAATTAAAGAAAATCCAATGGTTACTCGTCAAAAGTTGCAGGATGAATTTGCTTTCATCAGGAATCTGTCACTAAACGAACAATACGCAATGAAATTCATCGGAACAATCTAAAGTCACGCTTATGAAAACTCCACACTGAGAAAAGACACAGAAATTCATTCTTGAACATAAGGATACGGAAAAAATGTTTTGGGAAAGATTATAATGAACAGACGAAACCAAAATTGAGTTGTTTAGACATAATTCTAGAAATCATGTCTGAAGGAAAGATGGCAATGCCTTTAAACAAAAAAGAATATAGTTTCGATCAGTGAAATTTGGTGGTGGCAGCATTATGGTTTGGGGATGTTTTTCTGCAAAGATACTGGCAACATATCAGTAATAAATGGTAGAATGAATGCCACAGGATATCAAAATATTTTGAAGCAAATTTAATGATTTTGGTTGAAAATCTTTAACTTCTTCCGATTAGATCTTCCAACAAGATAATGAGCCTAATCACACTTCAAAATCTATGAAGAAATGGCATGCTAAAAATGATGCTAAAAATGATGTAAATATCCTGAAATGGCCAAGTCAGTTCCCAGGTTGAAACCCTATTGAGAATCTGTGGGGTTATTTGAAAATTCAAATGTAATCGAGATCTGATGAACATATGCAAAGAATGGAACAAAATACCAACTAAAATTTGCAAATCATTGAGAACAAGAAGTTTGTTTCTGTAGAAGTGAATAATGGCGATTCTGCAAAGTATTAAATGAAGATTATGTATTCTTTTTTTTGTATTGTACAAATACTTTTTTCATCCATTAAAATGGATAAATGCGATTTATTTCTATTAAATCAAAATTTTCTTTGTTCTCTATGCATATTTATGTTTTTGTGTCCAGTTAATTATATGTAAAGTATGTCTATTCATTATTTGAAAATACAAATTTTTAATTTATTGTATGTGTACAAATATTTGTGGACTAATTTCGACAATTATATTAATATATTTTCTGTTTATACGTTAGTTTTATAGATACAAATATTTGAGTAGATGCTTTGTTTATAATAAACAGTATTAATAACATTTACCAACCTGAATGACTGAGAAATTTCATAGAAAATGTCCTCCAACAGGAATCAAACCTGTATCCTATATGGAACTGTTATATAGCCTGATGTGCTATACCATTTAGCTACAGAGGAAGCATCTGGTTAGCTAAGTCAAATTACTGTTTTAAACAACAATTTCCCATGTTTTTTATTTGTTTATGTTAAGCTGCACTTTGAGTAGAGATGAGCATTTGATGGGAAATTGGCTTCTAAAGTTCAGTTATTTCTCTTTCTAGTATTAATAGAAGTTTCCTTCCTAACTTTTTGTTTGAAGTCAAGTGGAAATTCAACATCTTGATTGTATCATTATTTTCCTTCTAGTTACATGTAACACTTCCAATAGCGCTGCAGAGTGAGATCACCTCCTCCCGATCAATAGCATCAAGAAGCTACCCTTCCTGACAACTTGACCCCCTCTGGTGAGATTTTAACGCAGTTCCCATGGTCAGAAAGCAAACTTTCTAACCACTTGCCTACATGCTCATGAAAAGCATACCACAGATTGAAATTGGGTAGACAGACCCTTTGGAAGCTGTTGATGTTTGTGCTAGCATCAAGTCACAAGTCATCGTGACCGAGGGTTTTAGGGTGGTGGCCTTGTTCAGACTGTTAATCATGCACTCTCTCACAGAAACTGTAACTAAATTCTGGTCAGCATAGATGCAGTATAAACTGTAGATGGGCTCTGTGGGTGGTGAATAAAGAAATGTGCCTGAGTATACGTCTTCAGCAGGGATTAGCTAGCTGCCCTAGTAGACAAGCCTCATTGGATATGAGTGGTCAGACATCTGTCCATGTGTGACATCCATTGTAGTTATTGCTGCTCTTGGAAGTCTTCAAATGATATAGGTTTTTGTCATTATCTATCCCGGTCATTCTATCTGAAATCAATGGACACAAGTGACCCTCTTGCAAAAATTTGTAAAAATTCACAGATGTTCTTTGATGACTTTTTCCCATATACTCTGTAGCTTTAATAGATTGCGCATATTTGTTGGAATCAATAAAATTGTTTAACATCAGTTAATTGTGATGCATTTTTGCTATATTTGTGATTTATCAATAAATTTTGTTGCAGAACACCTGTGAATTTTTTCCAGTTTTCTCTGTGAGGGTAATCTGTGGATGTTTGTTTGATTTGAGATGGAAAGACCTACCTGCATTCAAATGTCACCAGCCAAATGCTTGTTTTTTTTTTTTTTTCCAATATATCAACACCTATATGGAGCATAAAGGTAGCTATTTAGCAAACCTGGACCTTCATGCCAAACAGTTATCAGATGGACTGTTTTTCCCAAGGCACCAGTTTTATTTTAAATTATCTTCACTCTTCAGCAATGCTTATTGTTGTTAAAAAGTGCTGATTAGAATTGGAATAAAACCTAAACGTGTGCTGAAAGTGAATGTATACATTGTTTTTGTTCTTGAGAATTTACAACAAAAATATTAAACACTATTTGATTGTTTATTTACAAGAATAACTTTTTATATTTACATTAATGCTTTGTTTATAATAAACAGTATTAAACAACATTTACCAGAGGACACATATTTTCTATGACCATTTCTCGGACATTCAGGCCGGAAAATGTTAATATTGTTTATTATAAACAGAGCATTTACTTAAATATTTGTATCTATAAAAAGAATGTATAAACATAAAATATGTCTTAAAATAATTTGTCCATTTCATAATGTATTTACAACATTCTATAAACTAATACAATTAAAACTAATGCAATGTAATATTTATCAATTTATAAAGAAACGCATATGAAAACAATTTTTAATTCATAAATTTGTAAACTACTAAAATCTTAAAATACGTGAAGCAACTATAAAGGAATCCTTATTATTTACCCTTTTATAAAATTTGAATCAATTGGCAATTCGCCAATGTTTTGCCAACCATTCCAATATATAATCTAATAAATAGTGATTTTTTTTTTTTTTTTTTTTTGTTGTTAATTCTCATGAACAAAGAAAAGCGATGTCATAGGGAAAAAAACATCCTTTTTCGAAGGTATGGGTTTGATAAAAATTTTTTGGTGTCCATAGAAACCCCACCCCCTCCCCCCAAAAAACTGTATGAATAAAGATAGCGAAATGGATCTTCTCATGAAGAATAAAGATAGAGAAATGGATCTTCTCATGAAGAGGCAGGTGCAATCAAATTTGATACTTTACTGAATGTGTAACCCTCTTTGTTGACAGATAAATTGACACCCCTGTGGGTCACAGCCAAATGTCCAGAGAGAAACAAAGCAGATTTAAAGATCTATGTTTGCTGATTTTATTGACTGACAGTGTTTTGATTTATTTTTTTTAATGATGCAATAAATTTACAGAAATGCTTGCACAATAATGCCAAATTAATTGTAAGTCCTGAAAAAAAATTAAAAGAAAGAAGAAAAGCACAGAGAAAGAAAAGATACTTTTTGTTTGACAAATGAAGAAATTATAAATCTAAGGCAACTTTAATCTTATCTAATCCTGGTTTTCCTTTAATTTTACCCTCAGAGGTTTTGTCTAAACATTTCTGCTTTATGTATGTGGGGTGGGAAGGACAGTTTACCATTTCTGCCATTTGTATGTGGTGTGGGCGGGTAGTTAAAGGTGGTTTGAGGAATTTTATTCCTGCTTCCTGATGGATTTTGGATTTGCAATCCAAGTTTTACAGGACTGAACAGAAAGAATGTGTAGCACCAGTCTTCTTGTAGTGAAAGAGAAAACCAGGGTTAGGCTTCTTTTTTTCATCAGAGGGAAAGTTTTAAGACAATTGAAGATGGCTTTACAGAAATCAGAATGGGGATGGTAAGAGGAAAGGTCAACTGAGGTGGAAGGAGGAAGTTATGAGTGCAATGTGGGGGTTGGGTTTAAAAGAATGGAAGGATGGGAAGTGTAGAGAGAAATGAAAAATCAGGCCGAATGTGGTGGGTATAGACTAAAGGGTTAAAAGATCAGATGAGGGTGAGGAAAGAGTTGGTGCAATAAAAACGGAGATAATAAGACATAGGGGAAGAAAAGAAGAGGAGGAGGGGAAAAGACAATAGAAGAGGGAGAGGGTGGAAGAGGAAACGGAAGGGAGAGTGAAAGGAAAATTGGAAAGGAAAAGCAATAGGAGAGAGAGAGGAGAAAAGAAAATATTAGAGAGAGGAAAAATATTAAAGAGAGGAAAGAAAACAGGATGAAAAAGAGGAGAATGGGAGGGACAAAAAATAAGTAAAAAAGAGTTAGAAAAAAAAAAATGTAGAAAAAGAAAACGAGAGGGAGGGAAAAGAAAAGATGTGAGAAGGAGGTGAAGAAAAATGTGAGGAGAGGGGAAGAAAAGAAAAGTTATGAGGGATATGAAAAGAAGTGAGATAGAAAGCAAAACGGGAGGGAGAGGAGGAAAGTGGGGGGGAGGAAAGGTGAGAGGGAGGACAAGAAAAGGTAATCAAGAGAAGGGGTAAGAAAAGGAAGTGTGAGGAAAAAAAAAACGAGGGAGGGAGAAAAGAGGGAGGGGGAGAAAACAAGAAAACAAAAGAGAGGGAGGGGGAGAAAACAAATGCAAGGAGGAAAAGGACAAAATCTTAAATTATTTCAACATTAAGATTCAGATTTTCTTTTCAAGTCCTCACAAAACCAAACATTTTATCAAATGACCCCACAGAACACGTCCCACCACCCTCTCCTCCTCATCCTCACAGGTCACCAATTTTGCAAACACAGATCTTTCCTCTTTGTCTTTTGGTTTGTAACCACAATGGCAGCATCATAAAAGAAAAGCTATTGTGACCAATTCACTGGTCACACAAACAAGAAAGTGGACTCGAGAACAGTTTGATGATTTACGGCAGCTAGGTTTGTAGACAGGATGAAACGTGAAAAGCTTCAAGTCTATTTTTTTTTTTCCTTTTTTTTTTTTTGTGACTTTTTTTTTAATCAATGGGGTGAGTTGGTTTCGAATTCCTTCTGATCTAATCAGACCAAATGATGAAGATGCTGTACAAGACCTCTTACATTTTCCATTGTTTTAATTGGGCCTTGGGGTGGGGGTCTGCATTTTTATTCTAAGCCTTAATGACCCTTGAGGTGACTTGACACAGGCAGAGAAACGAGAGAATGTCACTTAATAAAGTCAAACGTTTTATATGTACATATGTATAAAGGCTTGTAAGATAGAAACAATGAATTCATACTAGATGCATCTAAATAGGTTTTTTTTTTTTTTTTTTTTTTTTTGTATACAGGTGTGTGTATGTATATATAGATATGTGTTTGTCAACATGATCCAATCTATAAAACATGGTATGGTCATCATTTATCAGAAATTCAGTTTTGGAATAAAGAATGAAAAAAAAAAAAAAAAAAATCTAATAATGAAGAGAATTGTCCCATTTCCAGAGTTTTGCAATGTAGATTTTGTTTGCATATAAAACGTTTTTCATTTTTGTTTATAGAATGCATCAAAATATTTAACTTTCTGTTGAATTTTTTGTCCCAGATAAAAAACAAAAAAAACAAAAAAATGGAAATTTTTTTTTTTTTTTATATATAAACGTAATAAAATTACTGCCCTACAAGCAGAAAAGAATCAATTTAACTGATCTGATAACTCCCCACAAAAAGAGAGAAATATTTTTTTTTTTATGTCCCTTCCTCTACCTGACAATTATTTCACCCAAACATCCAAAATTCGAAAAGAACAGCTGGTCCTTCTTACGAAAGGTGTCAAAAGATAATAATGAAAACCCGTTTTTGATTAAGATTATATTTAGTCATTTGAAATAAACAGTTCTGTTATTGACTAAGTTTTGCTTAGTCTGGCAAATGGCCATGGGCTAATATTTGTAAGATGTCAACAAAAACCATGTTTAAACATTTTTTTTTAATATTTTTCTTGCTTGCAAAAGTCTTTGAGTCACAGTGAGCAAGAATATCATGGTACATGATTTCGGAATTTAAAAAATGTTTAAAACTGATTTTTGTCAATCATTTTGAAATAATATTATTGGGGGAAAAACAAAGACTGGTTTTCGTAATATCTTCTCAGTGCTGTCAAGTTTTCTTTCTCTCCTTTTTTTTTTTTTTTTTTTAGTTCGATCTTGGTGGGGGGGGAAATATGGTCAGTAGTATTTTTTGCCTAGTATTCTTTTTTTTTTTTTTTCCTTTCTTTTTGTCTGTGGCAAATTCTGGAAAGTTACTTCTTGAAATGTTTCCCTTTCCCACAATCTGCACAAACATTAAACCTGTGTCCATTTTTAACTGACACTAGCAATTTCAGTTTTAGATGCATTTCCATTCATCTTTATCAATTTATCTTTGCTACTGTCATTGGAACCGTCTTTCTTGGTGCCCTTTGCTGCTGGTACGGTGGCGCCATACAATTCATTCTTGCCACTACTTCCGGGTTTGTTTCCATTCATCACAGTATCAGTCAGTTTCTTGTTCTCGGCCTTTGGTGCCAGACAAATTTCATTCTTCGAAGGTGCCTTGACATTACCCTTGCAGCTACTTGAACATCCCGGCTGCAGTTTGTGGCTTGCCGACGGCATCGGTGCAGGTTTTGGGTTGCCGTTTGTCTGTAGAGACTTCTGGAGGCTGCCAGAGGATATTTTCTGCCAGCTAGGTTGAGAATTCTTTGGCCCATAATTCTGTAGAATTTTCAAAGAATTCGCCTGAAGTATTCTCTGGGCACTTGCAGATGCTGCAGCCGTCTTTGGCACCAGGACAGGAGAAGGGGAAGAGGGGGAAGATTTGGAAAAGTTGTTGGCAGAAAATTTCTCATTCGAGAGTGACTTCTGCATCAGATTTTGTTGGTGTTGATGTGAATGTTGTTGCATAGGGGCAGGTTTCGGGATCGTTGCCATGGAGACCTTGGGTGCGGTTAACTGTACAACATGGGTTAGGGTTTTGGGGGCTATGAATGGGGGTGGTCTTCGATTTAGATCCAAGTGAGGTTTGGGTGCAATAAGCTGCAGTGGCTTTGAAGTCTGCAGAGTTTTGGGATTTTGTGGATATTTGGGAGTTGGAGGAGGCAAGGCGGGTTTGTGAAAAACGGCCGTGTCATTGATGGATGACTTTGTCTTTGGCATCACGTTATTGCTGTGGTTTGTTGTCATGTCGGTTGTACTGGCACAGCTGCTAACTGCGGCACTCTTACTAGAGGTTGTTACAGTAACTGGACTGCATGAAGGAAGAGTAGTGGCAGGGGGCTGGTTTGACAACGGCCCATTTGGGTTTGTCGTAGTTGTGCTGGGAGTGATGATATTGGCTGTGGCAGCAACAGGAGTGGCATTCACTTGGCTGCTAGCCATGCTGGTCATTATTGTAGTCATCCTGCTGTTTGTTGTAGATGTACGGATCTGAACAGGAGGCTTACAAGGATCCTTGGAGCAAATATTTTCAGGGACGGATTCAGAATTCGACAGCTTTGGTCTCTTGTTGTCATTTTCAAAAACAGAGTAAAATAACCGGAGAGGAGCGTTCTGTAAATGAAAAGCAAAAAACAAATAAGAAAAATAACAAAAGACCTATCCACATATCTTCAAGTGGGATAATTGTTAGCAAAGGTCATCAAGTACTTCTGTGTAATGATTTTGATCCTTACTAAGTGCTCCATACAAAAATTTAACATTAAATAACCAACCTGTTAGGAATTGAAAGGACAACATTAGTATTACATAGTTATGAATTTCAAGCAGTTTCAAATTTTCAGATATTTGTAAATTCTAGCAGTATAACCAGTCTTCGACTGTATGTTTCATTACTGGCAATTTTTGCCATTCAATTGGAACAGTTTAAGTTTAAAGTCAGCCCACCTGAAAATCAATATTAGTAACAACAATTGGGTGAAAATGAGGCTCATCCCTAAAGGGGGGTTAACAATTTGAATGGAGGGAGTGGCCCTGAAAAGGTAACTGTATAATAATAAATAATATTATTGTAATAATTTAAATTATTTATTTTTATTAAAGTTTTTATGAAAGATATATATCCAAGAACAGATAGTAAATAGTAAAACGTTGCTGAGAGTTATAATAGACAGGAAGTAGTGGAGAGCCATTGTCACCAAACATTTGGAGACAAAACCGGCACTGAAGAATTATCTATCAAACAAAATAAAATTTCAGTGAAATCGGATGAAAATTGTGGAAATACATAAACAACATCCGATCACACATTTTGAGAATTATAGATATAGAAAAATGAAAATATAAATGTCAGGGATCAATTTGATACTGTATTAATATTATAAACAGGACCCCCACTTCTAAAATGGTAGAAAAGTCAATATTTTTTTTATTCTAACAAGTCTTGCAGCTTAAGCAAATTCTAATGTATACTAGTCTACCAAAACTTATTTCTCCTCCACTCTCCTTGCCAAATATTTTTCTACTTTTTAGGAGGGGATCAGTCAATTTAAGTAGTGCTAATGGCACAGTCTAAATTTAGTGGCTTTATTCTTCCATGTCTCTTTAGGAGGTTGGAGATCATGGCTCTCCACAATTTCCTGTCCTTTGTAGCTCTTAATAAATTTGATCTTTTTGTTAGTTATCTCTCCTAAACCTCGTTCCGCCATCCATTTACTCAAGCTGACTATATTGTTTACCTGCATCCCTCTTGCTTTCAATCTGTCCTGTGGGTATCAATTTTTCCAAGTACTCTTTTCTCATTATGTGTCTTAGAAATTTCTGATCTCTTTCTGATCTTAAGTATAAATGTCCAATTTGTTTCCATTTTCTCCAAGACTTTGTTTTTGCTCACATGTTTGGTCCATAGTATTCTTACCACAGTTCTGTTGATTTAAGTCTCTTCTTCATTTCTGAAAAGATTGTCTAGCATTCACAGCCATATAAGAGGACTGATATTACATAACAATTCATTATTCTTTTAAAAATAAATTTCCTGTTTCTTAATAATTTGCATAGCTTTTGGAAGGCATCTTTTGCTAATGCATCTTCAGATTTCAGTCTTGCATTTTGCATCCTCTGTTAAGACTTCCGAGATATTTAAATTATTTTACTTGTTTGATTTTGGTATCTCCAAATTGTAATTTGCATGTTGGGCTGTTCTTCTTGTTAACAACCATGCATTCTGTCTTTTGATGTTTCATCCTTTCTTGTTTCTTTTCAGTGTCTGCTATCGACACTGTGTCCTCTGCATATCTTACTTTAAGATTGTGATTGCCAATAATGAATCCTGGTAAAATTTAATTCTCACAGAATCGCCTCGCTGTATAAGATGAAAAAGTGTAGCAAACATGTTAGTACAGACACAAAAAAGGCCTTGGATAACATGCAGACATGTTTGCCAACACCAGTTACATCCAGGTTTTTCTCTTTCAGCAGCGGGACAGCTTGGCTTGTCTAGATACAAGCCTCTCTGCAACTGGTCAAGATCCGGATCTTTGTTAGAGGCCTATAAAAGCAGCGGGGAAAACCAGCAGTTGGCAAGATATGGTGTCTTGTGAAAGTTGGTCCCGTGGGAATTTTTGTTCCTCAGTTTGCTGTGGTTTCTGTGGCAATTGGTATTTTTGTTACCTCCCATCTTTTCCCCCACTCTGCCTTTCAGCAGCAGGACAGCTTGGCTTGTCAAGATACAAGCCTCTCAGCAACTGGTCAAGATCTGGATCTTTGTTAAAGGCCTCATGCCAATAAAATCAAGTGGGGAAAACCAGTAGTCAGCAGTTGGCAAGACATGGTGTCTTGTGAAAGTTGGTCCCGTGGGAATTTTTGTTCCTCAGTTTGCTGTGGTTTCTGTGGCAATTGTATTTTTGTTACCTCCCATCTCTGCCTATTATCCCTGTTGTTGTTGGGAGAGCAATCGGTCAGATTTTTTTTCTCAACAAACTCTTTACTTACATTACAAAAATAAGTCTGGTGAGAAGACATATCTTTGTCTTTGTCCCCTTTTGATTTTTGTATATTTATTGAACTTATTTTCTACCTATATGCAGGTGGTTTGCTGTCAGTGTAAGTTCTGGATTATTCTAATGTACTTCCCAAATATGTTCAGGTTAACAAGTAGTTCAACTCTTCTTTGTGATGTACTTTAATAATGAAAGGATATAAAGAAAATATCCGAAATATAAATAAGTATGCTTACCCTTCGCCATGTGTAAATGTAGGCAATGTCGATTAGAGTGTATGTGTCCTTCAAGGGTTCATCAGAATGGAATATATGAATCTAAAAATAAATACAATTAGATTTAGTTCCATGAATTGAAAGAAAATTCAGAGCTTTTAGAATCAAATGAAAAAAGATACAAATAATCATAAAAATGACTGTAGGTAAAAGAACTAATGAATAGATAAAGTTATTTAGAAAACCTGTGATATTACAGGTAAGTTTCATTAAACGAATATATAAAAACTTTCATTCACTCTAATGATTATTACATATCTAGTAAGACAGTAAAATACTAAAAGTATTTCTAAAAATAAATTGCACATGATGTTTACTCTGAAAATGCATGGAAAATGTTTTATTATAAAAGTTTTTACTTTAAAAACACTAAAAATTATTCTTACTTTAAAAATGCACTGCAAATGAATTTTGCTATAAAAATGCATTGCAAATAATTCTTACAATAAAAAATATATTCCAAATAATTTTTATTATAAAAAAAGCATTGCAAGTGAATTTTATTATAAAATGTATTGCAAATAATTTTTACTATTGTATGCATTACAAATAAGTTACTATAAAATGATTTTTTACTATGAAAAGTAATTGCAAATGATTTTTTACTATGAAAAGTAATTGTGCTGATTTTTTACTATGAAAAGTAATTGCAAAATGATTTTTACTATGAAAAGTAATTGCAAATGATTTTTACTATGAAAAGTAATTGCAAATGATTTTTTACTATGAAAAGTAATTGCAAATGATTTTTTACTATGAAAAGTAATTGCAAATGATTTTTTACTATGAAAAGTAATTGCAAATGATTTTTTACTATGAAAAGTAATTGCAAATGATTTTTACTATGAAAAGTAATTGCAAATGATTTTTTACTATGAAAAGTAATTGCAAAATGATTTTTTACTATGAAAAGTAATTGCAAATGATTTTTACTATGAAAAGTAATTGCAAATGATTTTTACTATGAAAAGTAATTGCAAATGATTTTTTACTATGAAAAGTAATTGCAAATGATTTTTACTATGAAAAGTAATTGCAAATGATTTTTTACTATGAAAAGTAATTGCAAATGATTTTTTACTATGAAAAGTAATTGCAAATGATTTTTACTATGAAAAGTAATTGCAAATGATTTTTTACTATGAAAAGTAATTGCAAATGATTTTTTACTATGAAAAGTAATTGCAAATGATTTTTTACTATGAAAAGTAATTGCAAATGATTTTTTACTATGAAAAGTAATTGCAAATGATTTTTTACTATGAAAAGTAATTGCAAATGATTTTTACTATGAAAAGTAATTGCAAATGATTTTTTACTATGAAAAGTAATTGCAAATGATTTTTTACTATGAAAAGTAATTGCAAATGATTTTTTACTATGAAAAGTAATTGCAAATGATTTTTTACTATGAAAATGTGTTGATCTGGACCAATAACATTGCAGATTTTTCTTTGGATTTCATCAAGAATCTCTAAATACATAGCAGAAGCAGCAGACCAGATGTGGCAGCAATATTCAATTCATAGACAAATGCTCAACTTATAAATGTCTAAGATAGACAGTTTTTCTGACCAGAATCTATCACAACACAGTGAACCAAGATTCCAAGCAGCAGCAGACCTAGACATCATTTCAATATAACCTTTCCACTTCATGTCAACAGAAAGTGTTAACCTGAGAAGTTATATACAGTCACTTTCCTGGAGATTAGAATCTCCCATGCTCTCAAAGCAAAAAAGGTTCTCCCAGATGATTAAAAGAGAGCAGTTTCATTAAAATTAACAAGCCATTTCTTGCCCCAGTTAACAATTTCTAAAGTAAAGACATTTGGAATGCATTCCTATAATACATTTATTTACAATATATTTCAATAGTAAAATCATTTGCAATGCAAATCTTCATATACTTTTATTAATTGCAACATCAAAGTTTTATTTCTTTCCATAAATCCTATCTGTAATATCCCAAGTTCCACAAATACCTTATACTATAACAAAAACTGGATTATCTGCATAAAAATGTTTAGAATAAAATAACTTAAATATTTATTATATCAAAAAAAACTTTAGGTCCAACAAACGGTTGCAATGAATAGATTTTATCGTACCAAAGGTCAGAGAAAGGTGAATCAGAATAACAGTGATAAAGTTTACCAAAAAAAAAATAAACTTGACATTATTTAAATGTTGACTGATTTCTCATGATTATTAATCAAGTGGTCTTACTTCATAGTGTGGTCCAAGTTCAAATTTCATGCGTAGAAACTTTTTTACATGAGCCACAGTAAATGCTGCCGGACACAGAAGATAGCGAACTTCTTTGTTCTAAAAGAAAAGAAAATTTAAAAGTTAAAACAAAAAGAAATGACAAGTAATTTGTACATTATTTACATTGTTCAGATTATCGACCTCATCTTTGTTGCCATATTTATCACAATGTTTCGGCCGTTATTTCAGGTGGTTGGAATGTCAAACTGAACCCTTTATTTCGCTCACTAGGGTAGACTGTTCTAGTCCCACATCCAATGATGTCAGATATCTCATGTTAATTTCTCTCTTCAAGTTCTCCACTGCCTTAACCAGGTATTGAACTCATAACACTTTGGGTCCTGTCACCGGATCAAAATAATGCCTTTATCCACTGTGCCATGTGTCCTTGTACCTCATCTCAGAAATATAGACAAGTAATTTGTATGTGTGAATTTGTATCCTAAAGCTGTTCAATGTGGATTTTTTGAGACATTTTTGAACCTGCTGAAGTGTAATCCAACCATTTATTGATACACAACAGCTGCACGTTTTGCAGCAAATTTCACAATTTCAGAATTTGTTTATATAACAACAAATCAATAGTAAATAGCAGCAAATGGCTAGTACAAAGTTGCACATATGAACAGCCTTATTTAAGAATACAATATTCCCATCTAACAAAACCTGATTGGCATCTCAATCCATATTAGTTCAAACATAAAAATATTTTAAATTATTCACAAAAATATGTAGACAAAGGTAATTATTATTATACTATCTGCTTGGCACCTTGTGACACATATGACCTCTTGGAGTGGGTTCTTTTAATTGAATTGTCTTATATCCAATCTCTTACTAAGATTAGGTTTTCTGTAAGGGCTTTGCTTCTCTTAGACGACCATATTTTCCCATGCTAACAGGTTCCATCTACCCCAGTTTGGGAATCCAGGGTTTTCCTTCTCCTAGGCTAGTTGCTAACAAAGGCTAGAGTCCAGTCTGCCATACTATTTAACCCATAGTTTGTGGGAGAAAAGACAGATTCCTACCATTTTCCAAGGGTATTTGCATGAAACTGAATGCAACTGCTCTCTCTAATTTCACATTCTGAAGTAATACAGTAATTAAACTTGGAACCATTTTATTGGTATATCTGGTACTGATGGTTGAGGCACCAGTTAATTGATACTATGGTGATTACATACTAGCACTTTGTACCAGGAAACAGGTACTACAAATCCACCCAGATAAGTCCGAAGGTGAATCATGTAGAATGTTTGTGTTCTAATGGGAAAGTTTTTGGCAGTACGTTTTGGACAATGTTAGGGAAATTGTCTTTTAAGAATAGGTTTTCAAAACATTTTTTAAAAATTTTATCCATCAGTCACATGACAGGGTGAGGTTATAGGGTCACAGAGCACCTGACCATCTGTCCCTACATATATTATATAGAAATAAAGTGTCACTGCCAACACTTGAGTTGGAACATAGATCACCAGTAAGCAAACACAGGCGATCCCATTATTGAATTAAGTAAACCATATGACCATAGAGGAAACGCATATATGTAAAAAAAATAGCTGACGGCTAACAATCATTATTTCCAGTCTATTCTCTATTACTATTTTGATCGCTATTTCTCCTCTATCAGTATACGGACTGCTATTCTCTATACTATTCATTATATTACTTCTTTAGTTAGATTACTTTTCAAGCGAGTATTATCAAGCAAGTACTATTAGTGCGAGTGCTATTTGAAGGTGTCCAACACCTGGTATGTGATTACAAAGGTTCTACTACAACGGGCATCACGATAGTGACAATGAGTATTCGTTGGCATTACAAAAGTGGCAACAAGTGTCCGTTGACATCACAAAAACATATCTAGGTTGAAAGTGGAAAAGGTATTCAGTTCATGTATAGTGAATCTAGGGAAAATAGAACTGGTGGAGTTCAAATCATAGCAGATGTCTTTCAACTTGAGGGTCTTGCCTTGGTTACAGACACATTGCTGTTGATACTGTTGGTGGTAACCCTGTACCATAGCCGTTGGCTTCAATCTAGGTAGCCCTCTTCCCAGTGGATGCATAAACTATGGGTCCCAGTTTACTTCACTGTAATGGGGGATAAATCTACAAGAAAGATCATTGAGGTGTTGTTTTTAATCCTGCTGTCTAACCAGAAAAGCCTGGTGGGGGAATGTTGTAATGGAATGTCCCACACTCCCTATCGCCTGTGTGGATGGACTATATCAGTAGATATATATAGTGAGCACAGGGTATACCAGTTTTTTTTTTAATTACTAGCCTGCCACCTGATTCCCTGTCTTTCAGTAGTGTATTCTCTTTTACAATAAACCTCACTTCTTTCATCTACGTATGTGTTGCTGTTCCTTTCACTCGGGTACCACCTTAGTCTGTTTGTAACCTCTTTAAGGATGCAACAGGGGGACCTGTTAATTTACTAATGATCTGACCAGGCAGCAGATAGTAATAGGTTACATTTTACCATTAGTATCCATAGTGGAAAACAACACAAGTGCTTATTTTTCCTATTTAATCAAAAGCAATAGAAATGTGCCAATGAATTATTTCAGCTTATGGTAAAGATACAGGAAGTGTTTTATTATTTCCACAATCTTCTCCATCACTTCAGTGATATTACCATTTTATCAGTTTTCTACAAGACAATATTACAATCCTATTTTGAATATAAGGTTGAAGGAAACAGACAAACCATCTGAAGACAAAACAAGAAGCTGAATCATTAAGGATGCAAAACAAAGTTCGAGAAACACACAATTCAAGAATGAAACCGAATAAAATCATAAACATAACATTTGCTGCTTGAAATTTTATTTATTTGCTTTTGGTAAATAAACTGAAAAAAAAAATACCTTATCTTTATTGTTTCCATTCAAATTTTCTTTTGTAAGAAATTTCAATCTCTCTTCAGTATGGCTGAAAAAGAAAAATAGCAAATATGATTGTGAAGTCCTGTTTATACATCTGGAAGATACAGTTGAGTTAGGCATTTATAGAAAGGGCTTTATTTTATAGCAAAAATTAAAAAAGAAGTATTCCTAAGCTAGCAAAACATTGATAATACATCTGGGAGGAAGTACAGTCAAGCACAAATTGTATAAGGGCTTTATTTTATGTATAAAAAGAAGCTTATAAAATCCTGTTTTTACATCTGGAAATGATGGTCAAGATCAACTTTTATAGAAAGGGTTTATTTTATTGGAAAATTGTTTATACAACTGTAAAATCCTATTTCTACATCTGAAAGGTATATTCAACTACAATTTTTATAGAAAAGTCTTTATTTTATCAGAAAATAATTCATAAAATTGTAAAATCCTTTATGGGAAACAAAACAGTTGTGCCAGGTTTTTATAGAAACAGCTTCGTTTTAGATTGAAATTCATAAGTTATCCTCAGAAAGAGAAAATATAAACAGCCAACTTTGTAGGTTTCATTCTCAATAAGATCAGAAGATGCAGGACTCGTAGAGGTCAATTTTAAGAAAAATGACATTAAATACGAAAGAGGAAAAGAAATCCCAAATATGACAATCCCTGGTCAGTTTTTGGCAGGTTAAACTGATTGCCACTTTCTGAGAAAAAGAAAATTATAATAAATTTTGTAGCAGTTACAGTCTACTGTACCTGTAGGGCAAGGGAACATTTGCTGAGTGTTATAACAAAGTGTTTTCTAATAGGACAATCTTTGTCATATAATTTACAGTTATTTCCATCAACCATATGTGATAGCTTATAAAATCGATTAGCCTATATAAGCATAATATTACAGGACTGTGATGTCAGGTACAAATACTTGTTGTCGATGAGGCCTGGGTAAACTTTAAATTACATATCTCAGATTTGCATAAAATCTAGCCAATAATCTTATATACCATAAAATATGGTAAATTATTTGCAATAATAATAAAAATTCTCTGCAATGCATTTTCATAGTAAAAATCAGTGGTAATACATTTTTATTCATTTGCAATGCATTTTTATAATCATTTTCAATTTATTTTTATAGTAAAAATCATTTTCAGTGCATTTTCATGGTAAAAATCATTTGCAGTGCATTTTTATGGTAAAAATCATTTTCTAGGTATTTTAATAGCGAATCGTTTGCAATGCATTATACAGTACATGGCATATTGTCCACTTTACATTTAATATTATAACAACATGGTGTTAGGTGAGGTAATGTTACCCATAATCTATGGAATCTAGTTAAACATTAGCCTAATAGATTTAGAATTTCACATTTTATTCCTGCTGTTATAAGTGTCAGAAGTAATTAGGGTTAGAGTTGTTACAATTACAAGAACATGTGCCACTTTTACATAACAGAAGCATGATATAATTCTCAGAGATACACATCTATGGTTAATCTTATAAGTGTGTGACATTTTGTCTAGTTCATTAAGTTTAGGTCTTTCAGATATCAATGTGAAGTGAAATAAGTCAACTACTTATGAGGAGTGCAAGCAACAAACCAAAATCAAAGCATTACTTCCAGTCAGAATCCTGGGAAAATATTGAAATGCTGTAGCAGGCTGCAAAACATATTTTGGTGCTGCAAGACTTTGGTCTAGGTGAAGCAATTCAAAGAGATTCCAATGTCCCAGCAGAAAATGTCTGGGCTGTCACATTTGCAAGAACCATAACAACAGCTTTTTTCATACGGCAACGGTTGCTGGATTTTAAAATGCAGGCACCACTGAAAACGTTGACAATTTGGAATGTATGTCAGATTTGCGGTAAAGCTGTAGTTGCCAATGCCAGTAGTCTTTGTAAAAGAAACACTTAAGAAGATCATTCAAGAAGAAATATTTGATGTTGTATCAGTGTTGCATCAGAAAGTCTTAATTGTGGTACCAAAAGTTATTTACATCTTTTGGCAAAATTTTCTGTGTGGCTTCCAGCAGAGCTGACAATTGCATAATGCTACTTTTTTTTTTTTTTTTTCTTCCTCAAAACCACCAAATACTAATGCTAGATAACAAACCAATTTGGTATAGTGATTTTCCAAGCGTAGTTTAGGTTTGGCACAAGGCCGAAAGTAGGGAGCACCCAGTGAGGATCACACTCACTACTCGGTCGTAATTGATCTAGCAAGACAAGCTTTCTAACCATTGCACTGTGTCGAGGTGCACAAATGATTTTTTAAGCGTAGCTTAGATGTGGCACTAGGCTGAGAGTGTGGAGCACCCAGTGAGGATTGAACTCACTATTCAGTCGTAACTGTTTTAGTGAGACAAGCTTCCTAACCATTACACCACACCGAGGTGCCCACAGACCAATTTGGTATAAGTTTGGTTTGTTTTGTTTTGTTTTACAGCATATCAATCTTAATAGGTTATTTAATGCCAACAACTTTTTTTTCCTGGTAATTTTGTTTTGTCAAAAATCTATTTCTGGTGAAAATTTTTTTTTTTCAAAAATGTGTTGCTGGTAATAATTTTTTTTCAAAAAACTATTGCTGGCAATAGTTTTTTTTTTTTTTTTTCTTCAAAAATTTATTGCTGGAAATAATTTTTTTTTACAAAGTATTTCTGGTATTAAAACCGGTTTTTACACTTTCATAGTGTTTTTACCCTAGTTTCGGGTTTAACTATTTGCCCATAGCTGGGGCCCTAACAGGTGCTATCACCCACCCCTGGTTCCACGCTCCTCAAAACTTCCTGACCAGAGGCCTTGCTGTTGGACATAGTTTATCGTCTTACCCTGGAGGCGGATGTAGTTTATTGCCATACCCAGGATACAGCAGAATCTGAGGTAAAAAAAGCACTAAACATTAATCGTACAAATACAAAAAACACTTATACTGATTTCCAACATACCATAAATAAATTCATCCCAAATTAAAACATTGAAGTTCTAACATGGACAACAAATGGGTATCCTGGGCAATAAACTACATCCAGTAGCAAGGTTTTGAGGAGTATGGAACCACCTCTTAAATGCTGTTCCCGAGTCTACCCTGACCCAGGGTGGTAGCACTTGTTAGGGTCCCAGCCGTGGGCAAATAGTTAACCCCAAACTGGGGTCAATGAAAGAGTAAAAATAGGTTTTAATACCAGCAATACATTTTTGTAAAAAATTATTACCAGCAATGAATTTTTGAGGAAAAAAATTTTACCAGCAATATATTTTTGAAAAAAAAATATTACCAGCAATAAAAATCTTGTTGGCATTAAATAACCCACTGAGGTTGATATGCTGTAAAACAAACCAAAACAACAACAAAAAAAAAAAGACAACAAATGGTATAGCATCAACAGCATTCTAAGAGAGTGGGAAACAGCACAGAAAGGTGGGAGGAGTTTGTGTTGGCCAGACTCCACATTAGGTCATACTCAAATTACACAATCATCTACTGTAAAATGAAGAACTATTAATGTCTATTGCATGTCAAAAACGATACACAGTGAAACATATCCTTGTGAATTGTGGAAGTTTGAACACAATATTATGAATTAAAAAACTTAAAAGAACTCTTCGATAAAGTTGACCCATCCAAAATAGTCCAATTCCTGAAAGATGACAGATTTGATATTAAAATAATGATTTTAAAATCTTAAACATATTACATTGTGTAACAAAATTTTGACTTTTTATTTTTGGTCAGTATTATTTCCTAATTGCTTCTGTCAAGAAAGCAAAGGAAATGACGATTATTTCCGTCAAACTTTGCATTGGTGACCTGGACATTGATACTTTCAAGCTAACCTATTTTCCAGACAGAATCAGCACTGAGCTGCAGAAGGAGAATATTCTCAAAGTTTCTAAAAGTTTCAAGAATTTCTAGAACGTTCTGGCAACATAGATGGCAGTATAAATGAAGAGAACACAAGTTCAATAGTTCAGTTTACTTCTAGCTGCCTAAGTACAAACAAGTCATCGCTGCTAGATATATTTGTCACAGATGGCATCAAGAGGTTATAAGCACATGGCAGATGAATTTTACTATGTCTTGGGAATTGATCAAGAGCAAAAAAGTTCTCCGTGGCAACGTCTGCTAAAATGTGTGAAGCCTACAAGGCACATTCCAGCATTCCTGTCGGGGGTCAAGACAAACCCTGGGATGTCATTTCACCTGTAAACTCTGCGAAAGAATTCTAGAAAAGAAGATAGAAAGTTTTGCTTGTTTAGATAGTGGCACTTTAAGTTTAAAGTTTTGGAATTTTTTTTTAATTTAAATATTTTTACTTTTATTTTTTTTAAATTAGCTGTTGTAGCATACCTACGGACGATAATGGGTATGCATTCATTCCCATAAATACAGTAGTGAATACTATATGTGTGGGTCTGCGGTCTGCAGTTGGAGATTCATTGTGGAATTCACTTGACTCACTTTTAGCAGTTAACTCCTTCTTCTATGCACCACTGGCGAATCTTATATGTGTTGTTCTTGTCCTAAGTATTATAATTCATTACCATCCTTCATGTGATTATTCTATTCAGTAACCTTCCCTAAGTTACAACATTAGTGTTACTGAAAAATATCTATTAAATATGTTTTAATAATTGCATACAGTATATGGATGTTTTCTATACTGGATCACTGGCAAATGCCATAAAAAAAGTTCAAGATCAAGGATGTTCATTATTCTTTGAAATCCATATTTTTGTGCTAAATTAACTGGGGTCCAATGTCAGAAATTTTATATATCCAGCACACAATTTTCAAAAATCAAAAATGTAGTTTTTCAATAACACTGAATGAAATATATTTGTTTTTATACTCCTATTTTTATTTTGCCCTTTTGAAGGATGGTACAGAGAAAAAAAGCAAGCCATGAAATTCACAATCGCAAGAATATGAAGGGGACCAACTGACCACTCAAGCAATTGGTTCTTCTGCATGGTGGGGTCTTCCAAACATCAAGCTGGCAAGGATGTGCCTACTATCATATATCCAGACCTTCTGTCATCCATCACCCCAGTGCCACACTGTCCGGAGTTCCCCGTACCCACTCCTCCAAAGAGAGAGAGCAACCGTTTTTGGAAGAGAACAGATGTAGACATTGATCCAGATTACAGATGTGCAACAGAGGAGAAAAACCAATTCTACCCAAAACCAAAAAAACCTCAACGACTTTATCAAAGATTTCTGGACATAACATATTTTCTTCTCAGATTATTTCTCGTTTTAATTTTCCCCCCTTTGATTTTTTTTAAAAAAGAAAAAAAATCAATCTTGAAATCCAAGACATGAAACTCAAGCAATTAACCCCCTTCCTGGTCAATTTTGAACAAATAATTTTAAAAAGTCATTGCTAATTTTAAAAAAAAAATGCCATTTCACATTTATTTCTTTATAGAAAGGTAAATAATTTTTTATAATCTTGTAAATAAACGTTGCTGATGGAGAGATTATAAAGGATTTTCCAATAACTTGGACTGATTTTAAATGTGAATTAAGTTTAAGCGTCTAATCATACTTTTCTTTTTCCTTCATATTTAACAACTAACTTAAGTCTTTGTTAATCTTTTCATGGTTGAAATTGCCAATCAAACAACAGACAGGTATTTTTCTTTAAATTTTCTTGTTCTATAAATCAGACATTTTTATAAATTTATAAACAAAAAAATTGTTTTCATAGTCATTTCTTATAAAACGGTAAATAATAAATATTCTACTTATGAATCAACTCTCATAATTTTGAAGAGAAATTTCTATCATTTTGATATGTGTTATATGGGAATAAAGTGCCACTGCTGACACTTGAGTTTGAACATAGATTGCCAGTAAGCAAACACAAGCGATCCCATTAGTGAATCAAGTGGATCACGTAACCATGGGAAAAACGCATGCAAGTAGTAGTGTGACATCTAATGGATCACTGTTTCTATTCTATCCCCTATACTATAGGGATCGCTATTTCTATTCTATCCCCTATTACTATACAGATTACTATTTGATCAAGTACTATTAGTGTGAGTGCTATTTGAATGAGTCTGATACCAGCATTGTTCACCGACTTACTATAGTTGTAATCTGCGATTACAAAGTCTTTACTACGAGCATTACAAAAGTGACAATGAGTATTCATTGGCATTACAAAAGGGGCAACAAGTGACCGTTGACATCACAAAAATATGTTTCATTATTCTACCCAGTCTAAAACATGTTTCATAGGATCCTTGTAATTTTGAAGAGAAATAAACTGACTTCATTAACTTTCATTACTCTACCTGGTCTAAAACATTGTGGAATTGAAGACTGTACTTATCAATCAACTGTCAGAATTTTGAAGAGAAATAAATTTCCTTCATTTTGATAGCAATTCTTACTGGCTTTAAATAACCTACAAAAGGGTGATAAGCCAAGGAACACAAATCAATCAATCAATGAGATACTGATTAGCTATTCAGGCATGTCTTTTACACCTTATTCATATTCCCTGGAATATAAATGTATAGAAACTACTTTAGACACTAAATGAGGGGTCAGTTTTTGTATTGATTGCAGTATGGAATTGAACCCTGCCGCACATTTTATATCCACATTATAATTTTTTGTTTATCAAATTTTGATTAGGTATGAAGCCCCCCAGCTATGGGTTAATTAATTAGTAAAGACTTATCTTCAAAAAAGAAAAAAAACTTCTTCCAATCTAAAAATATTTGCTGGCTCTAAATAACCTGCAAAGGGTTGATAAACCATAAAAAAACAAATCGATCAATCAACTTGAATTCAATAGAAGAGATAAAATCTATAACAAGGATGAATTAACTGATTCAAGATATACCTGGAATTGTTTAAAAGCTATTAAAAAATCAAGTTATGAAATGAGTTTATTTTTCTTTTTGTTTATGATACAAAATAAATCTTATAAATGTGTTATTGCCTGTCAAGAACAATACAGAGTAAAAACAGATTATAGTGAATTGTGGGGATACAGTCATCTCTCGTTTATCACGGTAGATTGGTTCCGAGACTGGATGCAATAACTGAATTTCCGTGAAGTAGGGACGTCATATTTACAGTATTTATTTAATGTGTATTTGGACTTTTAAAACCCTCCCTGTACTGTTAACAACCCACCCATTACAGTACTCTATTAATAACAAGGACAACTGTTAAGCAATAACACTTTAGATTAAAAAAAAATAAAGATTGTTACTGTATTCAACATGAAAGAAGTTGAAGTAGAATTTGAATGATGATGGTGATGAATTTGCTGCACAGTAGAAATGATGATGACTTCTACTGTGCAGCTGACAATTGTATTTTACGTCTCTTCGGACGGTGGTGCTCTTTCTATTGCTATTTTACGCTTGTTTTGTTGTTCCTAGACCAGGAAATAATATTTATTATTAATATTTTAATGGGTTTAATGAAAAATTTTAGGTGTTCACATACTGTGATTTTTTTTCTAGAATTTTCCAGAAACTCTGCGATATATTTTCCATATATATATTTTAAACCGCAATAGTAGAACCGCGAATTAACGAGGGATCACTGTAATTTTATTCAGACCATAATGAAAATAACCTAAAAAGAAAAACCCTAGAAACTTTAGTCATGGATCAATAAAACTTTTTGACTATACAATGGAAATAGTTTAAAATGCTTTCATTATAACGGTTGTGTAGTTACCAATAAAACACTACTCGATAGGTATCGATCTAGTATAAGTAACACATCTGTAAGAATTATAACTTCCAAACAGTTTAAATAAATAGAACAATTACTATTCCATTTTATTGCAGCCATATCCTTTTTCCACTCAGATATTTCATCTTTTTTAGAACCTGAAATCTGTTTTGGCAGGGTAATAGGTAGGCACTTGGGTTTAACTGACCACTGGGCTTCTACAAAGTATCAAGTGGTTTCCTATCACAGCTAATAGCCAAAAGCAAGAACAGATATTGTAGCATTCTTCTGTTTTTATAAGACATGAAGATGGAGAAATACTAAGAGTGCAAGAAGAAGAGAAAACAATGAAAAAGGAAAAAATTATATGTAAGAAACGAGCAAAAGAAAAGTAAAGAGAATATGAGGAGGAATTGGATAATAGAAAATAAAAAAAGGAAGAAAGATAAAAGACAAGGTAAAAGTGAAAAATCAGGAAAGGAAGATAGAATAAAGAATGTAAAAGAAAAGAATGTTAGAATGATAGAAGAACAAGAAAAGAGATGGAGAAGATGAGAATGATAGAACAAAGAAGGTAAAAGAAAAGAATGTTAGAATGATAGAAGAACAAGAAAAGAGATGGAGAAGATGAGAATGATAGAACAAAGAAGGTAAAAGAAAAGAATGTTAGAATGATAGAAGAACAAGAAAAGAGATGGAGAAGATGAGAATGATAGAACAAAGAAGGTAAAAGAAAAGAAAAAAATGTTGGGAAAAATGAATAAAACAAAGAAAAAAAGAAGAGAGTTGGGAAGGAAGGAAGGAAGAACAAAGAAAAGAAAAAAAGAAAAAATATGGTAGAACAGAATGAGAAAATCTTATAGCAGAAGTGATGAATGGCTGGAATGTAGAGAGTATGAAGGAACAAAGGAGGAAAAGTAGAATGCCTAAAGGTATTCAAGTATGGGAGAACAAAAGGGCAAATAGATAGTTTTTCACTTACCCAGTGCAAAGTTCCAGTGAAAGGCTGATGCTTTCATCTTCTGTGTAGATAAGACGTTGTAGTGCTTCATCACCTCTGTCTTCTCCAGAAGTGGTGGGTGGTAACTGGTTCTCAGCATCACCATTTCGAACTGGAATCCAAAGGAGGAGACAAAGGATTAGAGAGAATGTTTCATGAAGAAATAAAGCTAACAACATTGGAGTAATCAAAAAAAAAAAAAAAAAAAGAGAAGAAGAAATGTCAGCTGAGTTGGAGTTGGGGTGTGAAAGGGGTATGAAGGGTGAAAATAGTTTACTCAATGGTGGAGAGAGGGAGTGGGGAACATTAAAGATTTGATTAAGTGTAAAGAGGAGATCTTCCATTAAACAACAAAGTGTTATGAAAAAAGAAAATAACACAGTCACATTTCAAGGAAATAAAGTAAACAAATATATAAGATAATATAAATAAAAAAGCAAAAAAATAAAGAAAAAATATATAAGATAATATAAATAAAAAAAAAAAAAAAAAAAAATTTTTTGACATAAAGTAATACCATTATTCCCAGAATACTAGTATCCTCATAATTGTTGTTTTGATAATTCCATTTCGATTGATGTGCTCTTCTAGTTTTTTATCAAGTTCTGTGATGGTCCAAAATTAATTTTCTATGAATTAGTAACACTAGCATCCTCATTTTTATTGTTTTGTTTTTTATTTTAATAATATTTTTGTTTGTATGTTATAATATGTATAATGTATGTATAATTTGTATGTTTGTTTGTATTGTTATATTAGATTATTATTATTATGTTATGATTTAATATTTTTGTTTGTATGTTATCCAAAGGTTGAATGTAGAATGGTTGAAAATTGTCCTAAGAATGAAATTATTAATGTGAACAAGGTTGTCATAAACCAAATTTTACAAATTATAATCTGGAGATAAGAATATTTTGAGACATTTTGAAATGTTTTTTTTTTTAAAAAAAAAAAAAAAATTTAATATTTCTATGGTAGTATTTCCAAATCAGAATTATAAAATGAAAAAATAAATCCACAAGCAAGTGCTGAAAAGTTTATTTTTAACCAATTCTTGGTCAGACAACAAACTTTACACAAATCTCCTGATGTTTGATCATTCGTTCAGGTCCTTTTTTTTTAATTCTATTTTTAACAGCATTTCAACTTCTTTAGGGTTATTTATAGCATGATTTATTAATGAGATATTTTGGTTCCAGTTCAGATATTTCAGTTTTAGTCCAAACATTTTGGTTCCAGTTCAGATATTTCAGTTTTAGTCCAAACATTTTGGTTCCAATTCAGATATTTTGTTTTTAGTTCAGATATTTCATTTTTTTGTTTTTTTTCTCAATTTACTCCAAGCAAGGCAATAATGTCACTAAGATGCAAGTGAAAGAATATGATTTTAGAAACAATAAGAAACAAGTAATAAGCCTCTACAACTGTCAAAAAGACTAGAGAGGATCATGTTCAGATGTTTTTGTTTTAGAACATTTTAAAATTTTTTATATTGTTAGTTCTGAGTCATTCCCTCTTCTTTGCATAGTTCATTACCCTTGGAATGTCAAAGTATTTGATGCAAGTTCACTGGTTCTGAGAAGTGGCTGGTGCCGAGAATTTTTCAGCACTCACAGTAAATTCAAACACAAGTATTCTTTACAAGCAACAAATGAAAAAATGAAATAAAATAAAACCCATTTTGAAATTGCTAAGACAATTTAGTTTATTGTCTTTCATGAAAAGTTTAAACTTCGATGTCAAAGAAACCTAATTGATTTCAGTCGTCTAATTAATACTATTCTTTACCAAAATAATGTACAGGAAAATCAGTACTTTTTTTTTCTCCTTTTTCCAAAATAATTGCCACAAGAAATGGATTCTGATTAAAGAAACGGAAAAAGAAAACACTAACAGTTAAATTTTAAATTTTTTTTAAAACCTTTTTTGTTGTTTGTTTAAAGACTAACTGAAAAATTGATTGCACACTTGTAGGAAACTGTAAACAACTTATCCATCCAAGAGTGTATATCTTCAGATCAATACAAAGCAAATCCTTACAAGAGCCTGAAAAGCGTGTATGTTGCTTAGAATAATTAAATCAAATGATGGTATTTGCTTTAAAGTATAACCCTTTCCAGATAAGGTCAGGAAAAACACAATAGGCATTCAGTTTCCATGGAAACAACCAAAATAAGATACTCATGAATAAAAAATGTCTACTATGAAGACAGAGTATAATCCGGTTAGAATAAATACATAGCTAACTTACAGATAGAGCTCAAAAATAGAATTTAAATTTGAGTGATAATAAATCTAGTAAATTCTGGAAATAAATTTAGTCTGGAAAGTGTTTAAAAAAAGATTCTAAATTCCTCTTGAAGAGTTTTAAAACTGATATAGACCAGTTCGTCTCTTGCATGTCCAAGTCAAACACTTTCTAAAATATGAACAGATCTATGTGTAAATTCAAATTTTGAAGACCACACCAGTTGAGAAGTGCAGCCGTTATGCAGCTGATTCGTATTGCTGCAAATATTGAGCACTATCCCGTAAACAAAATGCTGCTGTTGCAGCATATTGTTAAATTCTTTGTTTAAATATTCAATATTTCTGGGAGGCTGAAAACATCCTCATTGCTCACATATTCCATCCATGGTAATCTCAGCATGGTTCTGTAGGACCATATCTTTCTTGTCCCAATTCTCCTGTTGATCTTTGAGGAAATTGTCCAATACTTCTCTGTTGTATAGGTTGACTGATATTACAAAGAAGGTCAACATTATTTGATAAGGAAGTTATTTGCTTAAGTATCCAATATTTCTGGGAGTCTTATTAAAGTTTTACACTACGGAAACACAACTGATTTTTTTTTTTTTTTTTCTTGGTTCCAGAACCAAATTGGGTTATCAATTTTGCCAGACTAACAGAAGTTATGTTATAACAATTTACTAATACACCAGTGACCTCCATGAATTGTACATCTCTTATATTTATACTAATCCTTTCCACTTGTCTAATCAGTTTCTTGATGTTAAGATGAAATTCATCAAGGAAGGTTCTGTAGTTTTTGTCAAGCTAAGTACTTTCAACCTTTTCTAAGATCATCTTCAGGGGTAAATTACAAAGACAAACATATTGTAACTGCAATAAAATCTGCATTCCATTGTCATAGTAACACAATTACAATAAGTTTGTAATTTACTCCTTAAGATGATCTTAGAAAAGGTCAAAGGTATTTGGCTTAAAAAAAAAAAAAAAAACTATGGCACCTTTTTGATGAATTTCATTGTAACATCAACAAACTGATTAAACAAGTGGAAAGGATCAGTATAAAAATAAGTAGACACAATATGTTTATCTATATTATTCAATGAAACATGTTTAAATGAAGATATGCTGCCCATATATATATATATATATATATAGTTAAGTAACGAAAATCTTGGTAATCTGTATGGATAAACTCGAGGAAGATCAAGAGCATCAAACTCCTGAGAGCTCAATGTTAAGTCAGAGCGAATAATTTAATTTAAAGAAAAACAGACCACTTTAAGGCTCCATTTGTTATAATTTATTTCAGCAGAGAATTTTATTTTTCTCTGGATCTTCAGACTTCACTTTCAAAGATGAAATGAAATTTGCTTCGCTTCACCTTTGAAAGTGAAGTCTGAAGATCCAGATATAAAAATTCTCTGCTGAAATAAATTATAACAAATGGAGCCTTAAAGTGGTCTGTTTTTCTTTAAATTAAATTATATGTGCATGTGTACAGCATCATAGTGTTAGCAAATTATATTAAACTTGTTATTTAATAAGACCGCACATGTAGTCACCAGGGGAATTAATCAGGTAATTGTGTGAAATTCAATTATTTGCTTATAACTTTGTTCAGATTAAGAGATGTTATCTTCTATATGATGCACACCTTCAGCAGATAGGCAATCATAGCTCTCCACAACTTCTTATCTTTTTCTTCCATTGCTAAAGCTTCCTTTTCCTCCCCGTTTCATCAATCATTCATACAAACGCGTTAGATAAGTGACTTACTGCCTTCCCCTATCTCTCTTGCTATCAATATACCCCCTTCTAAGGGTTAAGTCTTCCAAATCCTTCTTCCTCATTATGTATGCAAAATATTCCATCAGTCTTTTTCTGATTCTGAGTATAAATGTTCTTTTATTAACATTTTCATTAAGACTTCCTTGTTGCTTATTTGTTCCATCCATGAAATTCTTAGTAGAACCACATTTCTTTTAACTTCTGTCTTCTCTTTGTTTCAGGAAATTGTCCAGCATTCATTGGTATATAAGAAGATGGATATCACATGACAATCCAGTACTCTTTTCTTTGTTTCTAACGATGCAAGGGGCGACTGGAAGTGAGAGTAAAAAGGCTTTAGAAGGAACTGGAAACCCAATCTTAAACAGGAAACAAGAGATAAAAATCTACTTCTCTTCAAAAGACTGGGGAGGAGTGTGAACCGGATAATAGGCAAATTTAAGAAAGAAAAAAAATATAGAAAAGCCATTTTACCTCGATTACTGTTATTAGCATAAAAATCCCTTCGTCTCTTCATTTCATCTATGGAGAAAAGAAATAAAAAATAAATATTCAGAACAAGATGGATAACAAACAACAACAACAATAAAAAAAAAAAAAGCAAATGTTAAATTGAAACCCTGAAGCCAGTATGTTTCTTTGTAAAGTATGAAGCAGTTTTTTTTTTCTTTTTTGTTTTTTTTTACTTATTATATATCAAGGATATTTTTTGTTTTCACTCAAGTAATTATAGGCATACATAAAGACTATCTATAACTTTACTACTACTACTACCATGATTATTATCATCATCATCATCATCATCATCATAGTAGTTGTTATTATTGATGCTGTTTACTAAAATTACTTCTTTTTTAAAGATAGTTAAACTTCTTTTTTCCCCTCCTTTCCCTCCTTTCTTTTCCTCCCCCTTGTCTGCTTTTATTTCAAAAAATTATCATCCATTGACTGTTTGAAAAATCCTATAAATTTAATTTTACAAGGTGAAAATGATCATTTACATAATGGTATCTTAATTCCAATTGTGCAAAATATGTGAGATATATATATATATGAGTTTGGAATGCCATAAAGTATACTAATTTTGATTAACAAGTCAAATGTGTGTGAAGCCTGATTAACCAATGAAAAGCAAACAATATAAAAATACCAGGATTTCTTTTTTTTTTCTCTCCATAATTCATTTTCTAATGAAGCTTTCAGATTATATATATATATATATATATATAATAGACTCTCCCTGTCGGTTTCGATGTATTGAGGATCTGACAGCTTAACTAATTCAGTTACGAAATTTTGTGCGATAATCTTAAGACGCGCTAGTGATTTACAAAGGAGGTCACATATGGAGCAAGAGTGAGGATTGCGAGATGAGGTCAGTTAGATTGGCTGACCTTTTAGATCTTGCTCTTACATCTTGAAGATGATTCAGACAAGCAGATTGAAAACTGCTGAGTCCACTAAAACATGTTGATCTCCATTCTACCCACTCCAAGGCTAAGCGCTCAAGGGTATTGTGTCGTATATTGACAGCTGACAAGTTTATATATAATATATATATATATATATATAAACTTGTATATATTCATTTGTGAATTCCATGGTTGATTCAATAAATAATATTTCAGGCCATGTAGCAGAAATAACAATTAAAGAAACTAAATTCTTGCCCACATAAATGTTTTCATAAAAAACAATTAATTAGAAATTTTATTTTTTATTAATCAGTTCACCCCAATCAAGCCTATAAAGGCACTAAGATACAAGAGGTTGCCAAGTGTAAATGAATGAGAAAAAGAAAACCCTTATTAAGGAGAGAACAATAAAAGAACTGGAATTAATAAGCTGGGAAGACAATAATTGACATCATATTTAAATTTTTGTAGATCAAAGTTGATTGGAAAACACAAAGCCAAAAGAGACTTCCATGAATGAGAAGTGCAAGAAAAAAAAATGGTTAGTATAGAACTTACAATTATATGTAGCCAATTCAACTGTAAAATGATGAGACCTGACTGACAATCCAATACTGAACATAAATTTGTAAAGTTCATGTGCCAATGAAAAAAAGCTCATTCAAATAATTACCAGGAAAATATTCATAGAAAAGGCACAGGGAAACTACAATATGGAAATAGGAAAGTGACTAAAGCCAAGATGCCAGATAAGGACGAATAACATTGCAGATTCTTTGGATTTTATCAAGAATCTTTAAAAGCATAGCAGAAGCACCAGACCAGATGTGGCAGCAATATTCAATGCATGGGAGATTGGTAGACTTATAAATGTCTAAGATTGATTCCAACCAGAAAAATTGTCTAGCAGAATATAAGAAACCAACTTTCCTAACAGAAGAACAAGTAATCGATTCAATATAGTCTTTCTATTTCATGTCAGCAGAAAATGTTAACCTGTGAAGGCATAATGAGTTACTTGCGTGAAGGTTAGTGTGAGCTTTGCTGATAGAATGCAGAAAGGGTTCTCAAAGATGATTAATCTGAACCATTTCATTTTGGAGGCATTAAAATTAACAAGCCATTTCTTGCCTCAGTTAACAACTGACTGGAGATCATTTTCAAGATCAGCTATCAATTTGACCATGTTGAAATTATCAAACTTTCTATTAAGATAGGAATGAATTTTCTGCTCCCAGGAAAGACATTTTAATATAAAAAAATTGGTAAAGTATAAAATTGCTCAGAGAAACACAATGTCACCTGGTACTATTTAGAAAGTAATTAGTAAGCATGTGATAGATATTTTATCGCATTCTTTTCCAATATGAACAAAACCAGATAGTCATATATAAAAATGCCTCCACCAATAGCTTGAGTATAAACCTACCAGAATGTATAGGACATAAAGGGATTAATGTTTTGGGTTTCTTTAAATTCCATGGTCTATCAGGAAATAGATGATCATGACTCTCCACAGGTTCCTCTTCATTTATACCTCTAAATTATTATGACTTCTTGGGAAAGATAATGGACTGACAAATTTAGTAAAATCAACACATACTAATAAGAGTACAGTAACAGTCAAGAGACTTGCTAGCACTTGATCTACAGCAACCTTTTACTACAGGTGGAAAAACTTATTCAGTACATAATCAAATAGTACTTTTTAAAAATGACAATTCAAGTTTAGTATCTGTTTTTACAATATGATCACTTTTTTGTGCAGATATATCAGTAAAAGGACTAATTAACAAAAGTTTTAAAACTTTGAATATTGCTGCCATATCTGGTCTGGTGCTCCTGCTATATATTTAAAGATTCTTGATAAAACACAAAGAAGAATCTGCAATTTTATTGGCCTTGACCTGGCTTCTTAGCTTCAGTTACTTTGCCACCACCATAACAGCTTCCCTGTGCCTTTTCTACAAATACTTTCACGGTAATTGTTTTGATGAGTTTTCCTCTATGGTACCTAGACTTTATGAATTTAAGTGTAGTACTAGATTGGCAGCTAGGTCTCATCATTTTACAGTTGGAATGGCTAGATGTAACTGTAAATTCTATGCTGACAATTTCTTTTCTGGCACTTACTAGTGGAACTCTTTTCCGCTTTCTTACTTCCCAATCAACTTTGATCTTCAAAAATTTAAATATAATATCAATCGTTATTTCAAACGACAGTTGGTAATGAATGATAATACTTAGGACACGAACAACACATATAAGATTTGCCAGCAGAGTGTAGAAGTAGTAGTCAACTGCTAGAAGTGAGTCAAGTGAATTCCACAATGAATTTCCAACAGCAGGATATCTACCAACCGCCCCACACGGTCTGATGTGGCCAAATATAATGTGGGGTATTCAAGCCTGTAGGCCAAAAATTCCCTGTAGAACCTATATGAAACAGGGTCGAGTAGTTGTTTCCTGAGACGAGACTCTGCCCTTCTGCATAGCTTCATCTGGGTACCCTCTCTGCCCAGAGGCAGACTGTTTGATTAGCGCAGCTGGAGACGAATCTCCGACTGCAGACCAACATACAGTATTTACTACTGTATTTATGTAAATAAGGACATACCCATTATCGTCCATCGGTATGCTAGAACAGTTATCTACTGTCTTCTTAATTCTTGTTCTTTTATTTGTTCTCTTTACTTAATAGTGTTTTGTTTTTTTTCTCATATTCTATCACACTCAGTAACTTCTTGCATCTTAGTGACTTTATTTCCTTGCTTGGGGTGAAATGATTAAAAAAATTAAATAGTTGTCATGTCTAATACTAAAAAAAAAAAAACTTGCTCAAGGAAATATGGTAATCATAAACATTGAAATAATATAAGCAAATTTTGGTGCATTTGCTGATAAGGAAAAGATACATACTCCTATATAAAAGATATATATATATATATACTCCGATATAAAAGATACATACTCCTATATAATCCCGGCACTAGTTTGTACACAAGATCTTGCAACGTTTCATCTGATCTGTAAAAGTAAACAGATAAGTAAAATCAAACAAAATACACACAGGCTAAAACTTTTATGACAAAAAGTACAGTTCAGTCAGTACAGCAAATAATAAAACTCTTGATATTACATGGTCTTCAAAACAATTTCAAAGGTCAACAATCGCATTATAATGGGGTCATATTGTATATGGACACAATTTTGAATAAGAGCAGATCAAATTGCATGAGAAGATTACAAGACTCCACAAATTATTGTACAGTGAATTAAAACAATGGGAGTCCGTTTAAATTTCAATATTGAAGTTAAAAATCTTGAAATGAACACTTTTTAATTCTCATCTAATAAAACTAAAAACAAAAAAAAACATTAAAAAATTTGATGCATTAAATTTTTAGCAATAATTTTAAAATTAAAAAAAAAACAAACTCAACTGTAAATAGATAAAAACAAAAAAAAGCAGAATTTGTTTATCAATACTTGAATAAACCATATTGCACCATAGTCTTTTTTTTTTTTTAACACTTTTAAAGTATTAACTAATTAGAGAATTACATATAAAAGTCTTATTCTGTCAATAATACGTGCATTAATTCATGACCACTGACAATACCTTTTTTCCGGATTCATAATGTATTTCCATTGTAAAAACATTATCAATATATTTACATCATACAGATAATATCCCAATTCTGTTAGTAACATTTGCATTAATTCCTGACCATTGACAATCCCTTTGATATTTTTCTATACCCCCACACACACTTATAGCTAGAAATATTTTGTTTGTTATTTCAGAAAACAATTAGAGGTAGGAGGAGTAGCAGAATAGTCAACCAGGTTCAAAATACAACTTTCCAAGGGGTCACCTTGACGTGGTGTAATGGTTAGCAAGCTTGTTTCACTAGAACCATTACAATTGAGTAGTGAGTTCAATCCTTACAGGGTGCCCCATACTTTCGTCGTTGTGCCATATCTAAGATGTGCTTAGAAAATCACCATAGCTTTCCAAAGGTATTTGGGCACCTTGATGTGGTGTAATCGTTAAACAGCTTGTCTTGCTAGATCAGTTATGACTGAGTAGTGAATTCGATCCTCACTAGGTGCCCCATGCTTTCAGCCTTGTGCCACATCTAGGTTGTGCTTTGAAAATCACTACCTTTCCAAGGGTATTTGTGAGAAAGTGAATGCAACAGATTCAGCTGGAATTAGAACTTGGCATGTCAACCCCACTTTCCACATAGACACTATCCTATTCCTATCAATGCTTATATATTTAATAATGGACTCTCCTGTTGGTTTCAATGTATGAGGATCTGACAGCTTAGTTGATTCAGTTATGAAATTTTGTGCAATAATCTTAAGTGGCATTTAAGACCCGCTAGTGATTTACAAAGGAGGCCACATATGGAGCAAGAGTGAGGATTGTGAGATGAGATCACTGTTAGATTGGTTGACCTTTTAGTTCTTGCTCTCACTTCTTGAAGATGATTCAGACAAGCAGACTGAAAACTGCTGAGTCCACTAAAACATGTTGATCTTCATTCTACCCACTCCAAGGCTAAGCGCTCAAGGGTGTTATGTAGTATATTGACAGCTGACAAGTTTATATATATAAACTTGTATATATTCATTTGTGAATTCCATGGTGGATTCAATAAATAATATTTCAGGCCATGTAGCAGAAATAACAATTAAAGAAACTAAATTCTTGCCCACTAAAACACGTTGATCTCCATTCAACTCGCTCCAAGCCTATATATATATTAGAGTGAAAGAAGATATTGGCACATTTCTTCAATAAATCCTGCTCACAATATCACAATTTATATAAATACTTCAGAGAATAGACAAAAGCAGTGAAATTTGAAACAGCATCTTCCCCAATGATATAGTCATTAATTTCTAGAAACAGTATCCTTGAATGTTATATCATTATAAGAAAAAAAAATCTTTGGCTGACAATTTAAAATATCACATAGGTTGAAATCAGTAGTTTGTAGTTGTACTGAGAAGCATTTAGAAAGTTTGGACATTTGTTTTCATAATTTGATGTCATGAAACAAACTTTGTATTTGATACCAAAGGCTTGGAAAATGTTCAGATGATTAAATTTGAGTTATTTTTTTTTTTAAAACTAAACTTCGCATATGAATTGGTAGATGATTCTGACTATTAATTCCACCAAACATAACCAATTTGGGCATTTATCTCTCAAGTGCTTGCTTCTTTTGTCCATTCAAATTTAACCTTTCACACTATGTAGGTTACTTTTTTCACCAAGGAAAATGTTAGTCCTACTAATGCAAGTTGAATTCGAATTTCCTGGTTGTGTAGTCATATCCTTCTATGGCAACACCTAAAAAAATCTAGACTGAAATTGAGTGCCAGGTTAATGCAATTTCAAATATATAGAACTAATATATAAAACACTATATTTTGAATGGATTCTATATACACTAAAAGGGGAAGTAATATTTATAAATGATGCAGAGTGTTAAATGTTTAACTATCAAAAGCAACATTTTATTATTATTGAGTCCATAGCAAGAAAAACTAAACTGTCAAACTTATCTTCTTTAACAGATTCTTCCATTGGAAGATGACAATGCCACTAAGATGCAAGGGTTTACAGGAAGTGAAAAAGAATGAGAAAATTGTAAAATCTTAAATTTTTATTATAAAAAATGAATTTTTCAAGATTGTAGGTGGTAGAGAAGCAAGAAATTGGAAATAATATCTATGAATGATGCAGAGTGATAAATGTTTTTAAAAAAAGAGATATTAGATTAGTACAGTTAAAAGAGACTAATGGATAGTGGCTCAGATTGAGGAATCAGAGAGCCGAGTTCAAATTCCAGTCAAATCCATTACATTCACTTACATGCTAATACCCTTGGGAAAAGTATGAATCCTCTTCTTCTCCTCTGCCCCCCAGGTAAATAGCAAGACAGACTGGGTTCTATAGCCTTAGATGGCAACTGGTCTACCGCAGAAAGAAATGGCAATCTACTGCAGGAAAAAAATCCTCATCAGTCATGTATCGAAAGATACATGATTGCTTAAGCGTGTATAACGCATGGCACATAAGTATCTGACACTATTTACAGTGTTCAGACTGTTGTTCTTGTCTTTTTGTCATATTCACAATGTTTCGGCCATTGTACACCCTGGCTATATTCAAGTGATATACATTGGAATTTCAAACTGAACCCTTTTAGTCCATAGTTGTAGACTGTTCTGGTTCCACATGTCATGCCTCTTCCAGATATCTCAGTTTCAGTTATCTCCCTTTTTTTCACCTCTGCTGTGGCCAGGTATTGAACTCACAACTCTTTGGGTCAAGTCACTGGATTACTTCAACCCAGTGGATAAAAGCGTTGGTTGAAATGATCCTCAGTTCCTCACCCAATTGGAATTTTTCATCATTATACTTATGATTTATAAATATGAATGAAATTCTGCCACCCCTGGAAGCCAAGTACTTCCTATTTCTAAATCACCGATTTATATCAACACAGCTACTATTTTTTATTTTTTTCAGGATTATAATTTGTACATACGACTAAAATTCCTTCCCATCTCCTCCTTGGCTAACATCCCCATCCACTTAGATTAAAAAGCCATCACCCTTTGATATGAATTTCTTACCCTGGCTCAGAGCCAAGTGCTTCCTAGTTGAGAATCATTCATATATATCAATATTGCTACTATATTTTTTCACAACTATACTTAGAAATTGTAAATATGACTAAAATTCCACTCCATATCTTCCCCGGGTAATATCCCCACCCACTTAGAAAGTCCTCGCCCTTAGATTTGAATTTGAACTTAGTGCTTCCTGTTTGAGAATTAATGATTTATATAACCATTGCTACTAATTTTTCACTATTATACTTAGTATTTCTATGACTAAAATTGTTCCCTTCTGATTTGAAATTTCTTTTCTAGAAGTCAAGTGCCATTCTTTTGAGAATCAGTATTTTAAACATGAAATAAAAAGGGAGCAAGAATCAGAAAAAGTAAAACTTGTAAGAAAATAATTATATGAAAATACTTTATCTAAAAGTTCAATTTTTTTTTTAAGTATTATTTAAAAAAATTCTATAAATCATGTAATTCTTTAAGTCATGTTGTTGAATTTGAATTTCTTTGTTGTGTAGTCATATCCTTCTATGGCAACACCTAAAACAATCTTGATTGAAATTGAGAGCCAGGCTACTCCAGTTTCAAATATATAGAACAAATATATAAAACACTATATTTTGAGGGGATTCCATATATAGTAAAAGGGGAAGTAATATTTATAAATGATGCAGAGTTCTAAATGTTAAAAAAAAAAAAAAATGATATCGGATCAATACAGTTAACAGAGACTATCATATACACTATTTACATTTTGATAATATGGTTGAATTCAAGTATTAACACACTTTTTTTTTCTGCTAGAAATTATGCAATCGGAACATTAAAACCAAGGCAAGACATTTTCCTGGGATTTAGAGAGAAAAATACTCAAAAAATTAAGAGGGTCGGGGTGGAAAAAAGAGGTTTTGAATCAAACATCATTTTCCTGGTTATAGTAAGAAACATTGAGGAAGAAGGCAGAACATGCAAATATCATGCTTACATACAGTGACAAAAATGGTAAACAGAAACTCAGTGGTGGGGAGGCTGGTCATTATTGAATTATGGCTGTGAAATCTTGTTTATACTTTTAGCATCAATTATTAAATTTAAGATTTTTTTTTTTTTTGCTTTTAAAGAAAAAGAGAAATGTTTATTTAGTAAAGTGTTATATACCGTACCTATGAACACCAATGGGTATGTTCCAATCCTCATAAATACATTGGACACTATTGTAAGTGTGTGTGTGTGTGGGGGGGGGTAATATGCTGTCTCGGTAGTGCACCACTAGCAGTGGTTTACCTACATCATGCCACTGGCGAGTACTGTATGTTGTTGATGCTATAAAGACTACCATTTCATTTCTAACCTCTGTTTTGGTTATTCATCATTCAGTAACCCTTTCTAGGTTACAACAAATATAAAAATTCACTGCAAATGATTTTTACTATAAAAATGCATAGCAAATGATTTTTACTATAAAAATGCATAGCAAATGATTTTACTATAAAAAGAATTATTTTTGCTATGAAAATGCATTGCAAATGATTTTTACTATTGTTATATACCATACCTATGAACACTAACATTATGTCCCAATCCTCATAAATACATTGGACATGATTCTAAGGTGTGTGTGTGTGTGGGGGGGGTAATATGCTGTCTAAGTAGTGTACCACTAGCAGTGGTTTACCTACTTCACGCCACTGGCGAGTATTGTATTTCGTTGATGCTATAAAGATTATCATTTCATTTCCAACCTCCGTTTTGGTTATTCCTCATTCAGTAACCTTTTCTAGGTTATATCAAAGTATAGTCTGAGAAAAATTGTGATTAAAAATTAAAAGTTATATCTGAGATTTGATAACAGCTGTTGAAAAAACACTGTTTATTTTTGTTTTGTAAGTATATTACAAAGTTAATTTAAGAGTATATTTTATTTTTTGGAGGAGTTTTAGAATACACACTGCAGTTAGAAATAATCATTTTTTTTCTCAAATTCTGGAATTCATATTACCATAGATTAAGAACAGGTAATGAATTTGAAAAATGTTTGTTTTTACATATTTTTATTAAGTTAATAGGGGAATCCAGTTTGATATGTAAATGCAAAATGCATTGTAAATAGACCTCCCAATATCTTCATACACCTTGTTTACAAAACAGCTACAAGATGGCATTTATTTCTCAAAACTTTCCGTATATTACTAATTAAGCACTCCAGATTAGCAATATATAAAATAATCTTAAGGAGCCAGGCCAGCCTTATCCTGAAGAACCGTTTAAGTGAAACCTAGGTAGGTTTGCCTGGCTCCTTAGGATTATCTTAGGTTTTACTCAACTACATAAATTGCTCAATGCACGAAGTAGTCTTTTTACTTTTTTTGGGTTTGTTTTTTTTTCTTTGGACTTGGAGATTAAACACTGGACGATTGTTTTCGCCTTGGTTTAATGTTCTTGGTTCTTTCTTTTTTTTTTTATTCCCTATTTCTTCTTGGGAACCAATTTGTTCTACTGCAAGTTGAGCTATCTGAGGTTTTTCAAATGAGTACCACCATTTTTTTATAAATTATATATATATATATATATATATATATATATATATATATATATATATATTAAAATAATAAGAAAGAACAGTAAGATTTACAATCCAGTGTTCTTAATAATTATTTTTATTTTAAAAAAAAACAGTGCTTAATACATAAACTGAAGAGCTTAATATTATAATTATTTACTATTTAAAAAATATGGTCCCATCGCTACACAGGAAATACCATGTTTCAAAGTTTACTTCAATTATAAGCACAGACAATTTTAAAATTGTCTGTGTTTATAAGTGAAGTAAACTTCTTAATTAGGTTATTCAAAAAATTGCTTGATAATGGAATGGAACTATGGATTTTAAATTTAATTTATATAATCAAATTTAAAATTTTTAGTTTCTATTTTTAAACATAGTAATTCCTGTGTACTGATGTGACCATATTTTTAAAATAGTAAATATTTATATTAACCTTTAGCCCACTGCATTATTAAGATTAATTCCCTTTCTACTGTATTCTTTTTCAAGGCTTCTCAATTGCTGTATCCTTATTGTTAATTTAACTCAAAGTTGTTTTTTCTTGCCATAGCAGGATATAACAACACAGCTATGAAATTCAAACACACCATTGTTCAAGGATCAGAGCCACCTTCAGTAGCAGGATAATTTTTTTTGTACAGCAAATGAAGTCACATACAGATAAAGTTTAATCAATTCACCCCAAGCAAAAATAATACCATTAAGATGCAAGGGGAGTGAAAGAGAATGAAAAGACATTAGAAGGAACCAAAAACCCAACCCTAAACAGAAAACAAGGGATAAACCTCTACTCCTCTTCAAAAGGCCATAGAGTGCATTATGTGCATAATATATATATGTTAAATTTTGAGTAATCATGTGGTATGAGGATATTTTTTGGCTTCAGTAGAGGGATCTATCTAAATACATTTATATATCAAACAGGGACTCCTATTAATTTGTATGAGACTTAGTTAAAAAAAACAATGCTATTCATAATCTGGAGTATTTAATCTATAGCTATATGGGGAAAAATTTTAAAAGAAATGATTATTTCTCATCAGAGTGTCCATTTTAATTCACAGAGGGCTAAAAAAAAAAATGTAGACAAAAGTCAGCTGGATTTTTCAATCAACTTGAAAATAAACTTTTCCAAAAGGACTAAGCTGTTTATTTAATGGTGTTATCTTTGCTTTGATATTAGGCATGTGGCTGAGTGGTTAGAACATAAACCTTCTAACCATGAGACCCGAGTTCAAATCTCCGTGGAAGAGTTGTCAGTATGGTAACTTATTGATGTTATCGACATAGGGAGGGGATCCAAGTTTGTGGTACCTTTGGAAAGTGGCTGAGAACTATACCACTGGTTGACGCAAGTCTTGTGAGCGAAACTGAGTAGACCTAACTGTTCGGTAGCCATTGGTGGTTGTTCTAGTCACAAGTTGTCATGACCAAGCATACTGGTCTTGTTCAAACAGTTGATCATGCCAGAGGATGTGTTCCCACCCAGAAACTGTAATGAAGGTACTATCAACATAGTTGAAGTATAACCCAAAAGAGGGATCTATGGGTGTTGAACAAACAAGAATGTTCCTGTGCAGGCGTCTGCAAGAGGATATGGCCAACCGCATTAGCAGACAAGTGTCCTTGGAAACAAGTAACTGGCCATAACCTCCATTTTGTATATGGAAGGATATGTTAGCAATGAAGGTTAAAATAAAAAAATTTATGTCCCATTATTTAAATTTTTGTGATGTCAACGAACACTCATTGCCACTTTTGTAATGCCAATGAATACTCGTTGTCACTTTTGTAAATGCTTGTTGTAATAGAGACTCTGTAATCGCAGATACAACTATTGTTAAAAATTAAAAGTTATAATGTCAGTGAACAATATTGGTATCAGACGCCTTCAAATATCACTCGCACTAATAGTACTTGCTCGATAATACTCGAAAAGTAATCTGTGTAGTGATCCGAATAGAGAAATAGTATAGTGAATAGAGTAGAGAATAGCGGTCTATATAGTAATAGAGGATAGAATAGGAATAACAATCATTTAGACGTCACAACTTCCTATTTATGTGTTTCCTCTATGGTCACATGGTCTACTTAATTCAATAATGGGGTTGCCTGTGTTTGCTCACTGGTGCTCTATGTTCAAACTCAAGTGTTGGCAGCAACACTTTATTCCTATATAGCATAACATTAAATAGACTATATGTAAAATTATTGAAAAATTAAATAGGTTAATGATATTTGGAAATGTCAAAGCCTTCAATTTTGGTCTTTACGAAAAAAACAAAAAACAAAAAACAAATTAAGTTGGTGATAATTATAATCCTTAATTTCAAGTTCGTCAATAAACTATTATTATCTTTAGCAGTTTCAGCTAAAACTCCATGAAGAAAAATATGATGTCTTTTTATGATGCATGATTACTTAATTGGAAAAATGGTTGGAATTGGACTTTGGAATTCATAATGTAATTTATGACTTAATAGATTGAAGGAGTTGCCAGTATTAATGTTCTATATTAAAGTTTAACTCAAATGAAGGTTTCAGTTAAGCAAGGAGGTTGGCCGAAGAACGTGTGGAAAGACAAAGAAAGAGAATCACCCCCCCCCATTCCCGGCCCAGCTACAACAGGAAATGCAGAGGAGGTTAAGGCACAAATACTTTGAACCAAAACTCTATGACCAAATCAGATGCAGTTTGGTAGCAAGCAGGTGTTGAAGGAGTTAGTGTATAAAGGGAGTGGGGAAGAAAGAATAGAAGAGACAGGAATGTGCTTAAGGGGAGGATAGAGGGATAGAAAGAGGACTATTTTATAATTGTGAGAAAGGAAGAGGAATAGGTTGATACCACAAGGGAGAGTGGGAGAGAGAGACTGAGGAGTAAGAGAGTTGGAAGAAGAAAGAGAGAAATGAATAATCAACAATGAAAATATAACTGAAAGAGAGGAGAAGGAAGAGAGCTGATAAACAGATATGAGGGATGGTAAGAGGAGAGAGTAAAAAACAGAAGGAAAGAGAGGAAGCAAGAGGGGAAAAGTGAGGATGAATTGAAAAAAAGAGTGGGAGGAGTAATGGAAGGGACAAAAAGAGTTGGTAGGTGATGAACAGTTGTGAGAGATGAGAGGGTACTGAGTGATACTCTGAGGGAGTGAATATGAAGGAAAAGAGAGAAACAGTAGGAAGGTAAGAGGGTAAACTATTGTAAGTGTGGATGAATTGAAAAGAGGAGTAGGAGGAGCAACAAAAGAGACAAACAATTGTGAGAGATAAGAGAGTGCCGAGTGATACCATGAGGGAGTGAAAATGAAGGAAGAGAAAGAAACAGTAGGAATGAAAGAGAGGAGAGAGGGCAAACTATATTAAGTGAGGATGAATTGAAAAGAGGAGTAGGAGGAGCAATGGAAGGGACAAAAAGTGGTGGGAGGTGATGAACAGTTGTGTAAGGCATATTCAAGAATACAAAATACAAAAACAAAACAAAAATTCACAAAAGACAAGTAACTTTTCTCTAAATGTGTAAAAAAAAAAAAAAAAAAAAAATAGCAAAATAAAAAAAAAAACACCATGATAGCTGACTGGTAAGAAAAAGTATATAGTACCTTAGAATGGTACTTATTCCTCTGTTGTGATCTCTGAAACAAAACACAGCTCAGTTATGTAGGCCTTAGACCAGCAAAACAAACAATTATGGTTTCTTAATGACAAGAAGATGGAGAAGGATGGGGGGGAAAAAAAGCAAAAATAGAAACATACAAAAAAAAGATCAATAAATGTATTCTTAAAAACAAAATCTAAAAATATTCAAGAGGCTTGGTAGAAAGTTCTGAAATACAAAATATTTTGTGGAAATGGGGCTCTTAATTTTTGCTTCACTACCTTTGTTATAATATGCAAAAAAAGAAAAGAAAAAGGAAAAAAGAAAAGGAAAAGGGAAAAGGAAAAAAAAAGAAAAAACACGAAAGGAAAAAGAAAACAAAAAAAGATAAGGAAAAAAGAAAATGAAAAAGAAAAGAAAAAAAGAAAAAAAGGAAAAAAAAAGGAAAAAGGAAAAGAAAAACAGAAAAGGAAAAAGGAAAAGAAAAACAGAAAAGGAAAAAGGAAAAGGAAAAAAGAAAAGGAAAAAAGATAAGGAAAAAAGAAAAACAAAAGAAAAAAGGAAAAGTAAAGAAAAAAAGCAATAAGGAATGCACAGCCATAATGGAGAGAGATCAGAATTGCTGTTTCAGCTTCTCTTTATAATTTGTGCAAGGAAGTCCAAGTTTGGTGAGTTCTTGCAATTATCAAATTCCTTTTACTTAGATTATGGATACAAGGGGTGTTGAAAAATTCTTAGCCTAATACATTTTACGAAATCTGAAAAAATAAACAAACATCATATATTTTGCAAAAGACTTTTTTTGTTTGAACTGAGAACCTTTTAAAGGCTAATAGAAATATAAAATTTGCCACTTAGCTGATTGATGTTATTATATTCAACGCTTCAACTCCAGAGTTTCATAAACAAACCCTTTTGTAATTGTTCAGTTCACTCATCAGGAGGTTTCAGCAATACCTCAGCTATGGGTAAATAGGAGGATAGACTGAGTCCTATAACCATGAGTGGTAACCGATCGATGAGAAGAACAACAATAAATTCAAAACTTGAGGAGGGCTGTTTGAGGGTGGGGGGGAGTAACCTTGTGACACACTATGGTCACATGTTCTCTGTATTTGGCACTTCCAAAAAGTGTGGTTGGGTCTACACAAGCCTTCACCACTATAATCAAATCATATGCGTGGTTAGTAACTGGCTGTTCTAAGAACCAAGTTGCTCTAACCTTATGTGCCAAAAATGAGAGAGTTCAGTTATATATATATATATATATATATATATATATATATACAAACTTTGAAGAGGTAGCTATGAAGAGCATCGTTCCAGCTGCCATGCAGAAATAATGCACCATCAAGAAGCAAGCATCAATCGACTACGTGAAACATGAAATTAAAATAAGACAGTTAACAGTGCTCCTGTCGCACTTGGATACAATACATTCTCCTGTACTCTTTGTGGCCTTTTGTGTAATTCTCGAGCTGGTCTCAAAAGTCCTGCCCGTCATAGACATGCAGATAATTAGTTTATGATCGTTGAAACCTCATACATCGAACTTTACTATAAAAATGCATTGCAAATGATTTTTACTATGAAAATGCATTGCAAATGATTTTTACTACGAAAATGCTTTGCAAATGATTTTTACTATGAAAATGCATTGCAAATGATTTTTACTATGAAAATGCATTGCTAATGATTTTTACTATGAAAATGCATTGCTAATGATTTTTACTATGAAAATGCATGGCAAATGATTTTTAGTATAAAAATACATTGCAAATGATTTTTTTACTATGGTTATATACCATACCTATGAACACTAATGAATATATTCCAATTCTCATAAATATGTTGGACACTAATGCAAGTGGGGGTAATATGCTGTTTAAGTAGTCCACCATTAGCAGTGGTTTACCTATTTCATGCCACTGGTGAGTATTGTATTTTGTTGATGTTGTAAAGATTACCATTTCATTTCCAACCTCCATTTTGGTTATTCCTCATTCAGTAACCTTTTCTAGGTTAGAACATAAATCAATGTAAACATCAATTTAGTCTGATGAACCCTTAAATGATGAAATGTTTTACATGAAAAAAATTTTTCCACTTTGTCATAGATTTCCTAAAAAAGAAAAAAAAAGATGGCCGTTTCAGATTACCCAGAAGAAATTTCTTCCTCCCACCTCATAGAAAAAACAAAGCTTAAAACTATCTTATGAGTATTGTCTGGATTTGACTTGCCAATTTCACCTTACATAGATATATTCTAAACACATTTAGCTACTTGTTTATCTTAAATATGGGGGTTCTCAACTGGGGGGGGGGGATTCCCCACCACCCCTGGGAGTAATTTCAGGGTGTCAGGGTTTTTCATTGGTTGGAATCTTCATTAGAATAAAATCAATTTAAATACACTTGCCTTTTATTGAACTTTTTTCTTTATTAAATTCCAATATCCTGACATTCTATTGAACGTTTTGTTTATTGAGATATGCTTCAGTTTATTTATTTAATAATTAGTTATGAATTAAAACAAATCACTGTACATATATTTAAGTTTAAAAATCCATTAGCATTTCCTAATGATATTATATCGGAAAAAGTCCCCCATAAAAATAATGTATGTAAATGTACTAATACTGGGAAGAATGAAGGTTTTCATTAATATATGTATATTATTTGGAATAAACCATTTCTTGGAAAAGCCGGGGAATGATATTCTGTCTTATGGTGAAAAACGGTACACTGGGCAAAAAAGTTTGAGAATTACTGTCCTAATATCATTTGATCAGTAAATATAAAATTGTCTCAAAAAATGGGACAATGATTACGGACCATCTCTATTGGAGAGAACATGTTCCTCGCTTGTGGCATTGCAAGATATGAAGCTAAGTTATGTGAATGATAATAAAAACAATTAAAAGGAAAAAATTTTCAATTCTTTCAACCTATTTATAAGACTCTTTGACAATTGCGGCGGTGGGGAATCTTAACTTTTCTTGTTTTTTATTTACAGAATTTTGTTTATTGAATTGCTGTAACTTGGTATTCTATTGAACGTTTTGTTTATTGCTATTAAATCTGAAATAATTCCTCTATAAAAAAAATAATCCATGTACTAATATATAAAGAATGACTATCTTTTAGAATGCACCTTTTGAGTCGGACAATCTCGGAAAAGCCAGGGAATGATATTCTGTCTTATGGTGAAAAAGGTACACTGGGCAAAAAAGTTTGAGAATCACTGTCCTAATGTCACTTGACCAATAAATATAAAGTTGCCACAAATTTTTCCAACATATTAATTGCAGTGACAAACTACTTTCTTTATGTGACAAATATACACTAATTTAGTTTAAAATTACAAGCTCTCCCGAGAATCAAGCATTCCTATTAAAATTTCACAAATCGAAATGGTGTAAAACGAAGGACCAACTCGCATCAATTTATATAGCATAAATTTTTCTTAGCATTCCCAAGCCTGACAAACAGTGCTTAATCATTGCTGGAAATCATGGTTTTTATTTGGGAAGAGATAGATTTAGATCACGGGTTCTCAAATAGGTAACAATTTCAGCATTTTGGAGTTGGGTGGAATCTTTTACTTTTGACTTTTTTTTTTTTAAGGAATTTTTTTATGGAATTCCAATACACTGGCATTCTATTGAACTTTTTGTTTATTGAAATATGCTGCAATTTATTTATTTGATAATTAGTTATGAATTAAAACAAATTACTGTACATATATTTAAGTTTAAAAATCCATTAGCATTTTCTATTGCTATTATATCTGAAAAAGTCCTCCATAAAAATAATCCATGTAAATGTAATAATATGGAAAAGAATGAAGATTTTCATAAATATATGCATATTATTTGAAATGCACCTTTTGAGTTGGACAACCGTGGAAAATGGGAGGGTGACATTCTATCTTATTGCAAAAAAGGTGCACTGGGCAAAAAAGTTTGAGAATCCATGTCCTGATATCATTTAGTAAGTTCAATTGACACTTTATCATGAGGATTGTCAAGCCATTTTATGGTTAAACAAACCTGTCAGAAGCCATTAAAAAAAATTCAGGGGACTCCTTGTCTGTTAATCATTCTTTCCCAGTCTTCAAAACTAAGGAACAGAACATTTTCATTCCTTTTCTTTCTGATGTGATCTTTTTAAAATTCCACAGTGTCTTTGGGTTGAGCTCACCAAAGCCTGAACCCCTCTCTCTCATTTGGATAGAGATCATTCTTTCAATCAAATGTACAGTTTCTAAATTGCCGGTCACCTGTCACATCCCAGCCCACCCCTACATCTACATAATCTTCAGACCTAGATATGTTGATGGCTTCCACAACACTCTCCTCATTTCTAGGTCAGAAATATCATCTTCAGTAATGAGTTCATTCAACTCTAAGATTGTCAAGCATTTGTAGGATGACATTTCCATCATCAATGACACAGATAAAAATGTCAGTCATGGGCCATTTTCACAAAACACACACACACACAAAAATAAAAAATAAATCAAACAAACAAATATTCAGTCCATGGTTACAAGTAGAAAGTTCACAATTCAGATTTTCTTTTTTTGCCATGAGAACAGAATAAAGTACAGCTGTGACTCATGGTGGGAAATGAAATAAGAGGCTATGGTGGTTACATCTTATCAATGGAGGTAGATACAGATTTAATTTCTACTGTCTGATGTTTCTATAGCAAACAAGTGAAAAATATTTGGAACATAAGGTTGGGATAAATAAAAAGAAAATTATAACTCGTGAGAAATACTGAAAAAAAAAAAAAAAAAAAATTAAACCATTACGATTTCAATCCTCTAAAACGGGTTTCTTCTTGTCACTAAATATTTGTAAAATTTAACAGGTTGCATATATATATATATATATATATATATATATATATATATATATATATATATAAAAAAAAAAAAAAATGGTGCGATGAATAAATTGTCGTCTAAATTATGCAAACATGAAAACAACACTTACATTTCACTTTAACAGATATATTTACCAAAATTACGCAAAAAATATCTTGAAATACTAAAGAGTAAATTTATTCACTAAAATTGCCATTGGCTTCAACCATGGCCTGTAGACAACTTCAGAATCTCCTGCAACTCTTCTGGATGACCTCCTTATTTAAGTTGGTGAATGCTGCCATAATCCTTCCCTTCAGGTCATCTTTGGTTTTTAAAGGTAGTTTTGTTGGTCTCTCACCCAACTACACCCCACACATAATAATCAAGGGGGTTGCAGTCTGGGGAGTTAGGTGACCAGATGTAAGGGTTGATGTGGTTGCAGAAATTGACTGACAGCCATGACTGGGTTCTCCTGCTTGTGTGGCATGGTGCAAAGTCCTTCCAGCAACCATCCTCTTGACTCAAGGCAGCACTACTTCCTCAAGGCACTTCATGTAGGCTTCCGTGTGGGAAGATGAATGGAGGCATAACATCGCCATCACTAATGATCACTCCAAACCCCATGATGTTGGCTGGATATATCATCCAACTCTTTCCGAATCCTCTGCACTGTCCTCAGATTGACACCCAAACTCTCTGAAAGGTTTGTATTGGAGATTCTGGCATGAATGCCAAGCAGTACAGCATGCCATTTCCAAAT